AAAAACTCTCTATTTTTACAATTTTACAAAAACCTTTTTCAGTGTCCAATTCGGGACACAAACGAAAATAAATTCCTTCGGTTTTTTTTCGAAAACCACCAAGGTTTTCTCCAAAACGCAAAAAAGCATTATTTTCTGATGATTTTCTTCTTTTTTGAAAATAATGAGGTGTTTTCAGTCAAAAATGTAGAAATTAATTTTGCTAGAAAATTAGCCTCATTCATCGGTTTGCAGGGAACTTTAGAAAACCCATTTCAGCTTCGATTTGGCGCAAAAACCAAATAATTTTATTCAGTTTTTTACCGAAAGTACCTAATTTGGACTATCTTGAAAAAACGAACAGAGAGCAAAAGTTTACAAAAAATCATTGGGAAAATTCGACGCCCTCATCGCTCTCAGGATTTCTAAAGTTTCTTTAAATTTTTAGGTCATTCAAGTTTCAGCAAAGTTTCTATTAAGCAATCCTTTCTACGCAAAAATCGCATTATTTTTTAATTTTACTTTTTACAGCTTCGAATTATGGACAAAACCCTAATAATTAGTTCTTGGTCTTTTTCCAAAAATATTTCCCCGAACTGAAAAATCGAAAATTTATAATCATTTATTTGAAACTCTTGGAAACTGGAGTTTCTTCACTTTTAGGTCAATATTTCCAAACAACACTGTCTCTAAATAGAAAAACCGCGTTTTTCCGAACGTTGTACTGTAAAATACTGGCAAACATAATCTTTTATGCAAAAAATAGGAGATCGATTTTACAAGAAAACTGGTCGACTTTCTTTGGACTCAGTTCTGCTGCAGAGAATTATGAATTAATTATGAAAAATTTTAGAAGTAGTTAAAAACCCCAATTGGTGCCTAGAAAAAATGTATAAAAACATCATCACCAAAACTGGCTTTACTATAGAGGAATAATAAAGCAAATGTATAAAAGTTGTAATAAAAAAAACAATTTATTGTTGAAGTGATATACTAAAAACAAATAGATATTATCGGAAATGAAAGAAGAAAGCTCATCAACGCCTGCATTAAAGGGTTTTTCGGAATATCGCGGTCAAATTTCTAATCCAAACTATTTGCAAATAAATCCGTTTCTAGTAGGAACGATTTTTTCCATTCTCCTTAAATATTTGCAGGCAACTTCCATTAAGTTAAAACCGCCTTTAGTAAGTCACCAGTTTAGTAAACAATTAATTCAATGTATTAAAAACAAACAGTAGTATTGAAGTGTCGTACATTGTTGCCAAACTTGTAATCCAATTTTTTGCAAATAAACCCGTTTGTGGCAAAAAAAAGTTTTTTAATATTTTGTCTGTACTACTGTGAATATCGACACACAACTCATCCAGTGCAAAAACGCCAATATTAAATCAACAATATTGGTTTACCAACTGATGTAAATGGACCTGAGTGTGCCACTGGCGCATTGGCTCGTTCGGCCTCCTGTCGTGCGATGGCGTGCATCGACTCAATATCGCAACGTGGAATAACGTCGACATTCCGAGCCAAACATTCTGTTCACTTATTGCCGAACACTCTGTACGATTCGCCAAAAAAATGCATGTTTGATTTAAACATTTGGCAGGGAAAGTCATGGGATGGTCCCACTGTGGTCAATCAGCGGACGCTAATTGCAAAATAATAGACAATGAGCCGAAACCGAAATAATAATGAACATTACACGAGTAACATTTTAATTGGCCCCAAAGCTGAGGTGGTGGCAATAAGCGGGACGCGGTGTAGTGGCAAACTGTGGCGCTTTGTTTTGAAATTGTGACGTTTCGATCCCCCTTTAAAACACCAGCAACAGGGGGGGAAAACAACCCCCTGGGTCTCGATCCCTGAGCCGCGACCGAAACCGCGCCACCCCCGGCGGTCAACGCGAAAACTAACCCCCCAGCAGCAGCAGCAATCCCGAAACCGCGCCACTTTGCATTTGCTTGACTCACACCCCCAAAATGATTCCGAACATGTTCACTACAAAAAACTCTAAAAAATAAAAAGGAAAAAAACTACCCTCAAAATGGCTGCCTGGCAGAAAGCATCTCATTTTAGCTGAAACAGGGGTGGAATTTGTCCTTGTTCCACCCGCGTGATTTCACTTCATCCCCTTTCACCCCTATAAATATGGCGCCCTGATTGCCAGTATACCAAGCTGGTCTGGAGTCAACGTGGACTAGTCGAGTACAATCCGTGTCGGCCAATCAAAGCGCGCCATTTGCCCGGCGCAGCCAATGACGAAGCGCAGAATGCCAAACACCGCCTGGATTAAACGAAAACGGTGCTCGGAGACGCTGCGGGCCAATCGCAAGCGCCCGCCGACCAATCACACGGCCGGATTTCAGGTTCGTTGCTAAGGAAGCGGTGACAGAACGGTCGGGTCCACGTTGACTCCGAGGTGCCACACTACATCGCTTGCAGAGTCTCGAACGCAGCGGGCAAACCAGCAAAAATAAGAGCCGACTGAAAAAATATATAAAACTCAAGATAAAATCTCCAGTGGGTCGGGTGCGGGTTAGTTTGAGCAGAACAAAAGCATTAAGCGACCTACCGAGTTATTAACAGGCGGCCGGGGTAGGAGGGCGACACCTTGTCCACATGTTTTAAGAATTTTTCGTCTAAATGCCCTTTACATGCACGATTTTCATCGCTCCTGGTACGGTTTGCCACCCCCCCCCCAACACCCAATGTCATCTTATTGCCACATCCCAGTTCACTGTCACTGTCATTTGCATACAGTGACAGCTAAGTGCTTGGGGCCCTCAAGCACTATCTCACTTGCTCCCAGGGTGGTTCAGATGGAAGTGGAGTGTGCTTTTTCTAATGTTTTTCTGAGGAATGCACTTGTTACGAGGTTCTTTCAATACATTTTTGGTATTTTTGATCTTTAAAGTACGTAAAGGTGTGAAACTAGGTATTCCTAAATAAATCTCGCAACAGAAAATCAAGAAAGAAACACTTTTCGTTTCTTCCATTTTTTCTCTGTACTTTCGTTTTCAATATACATGGTGTCAAAAATTACATTTTTGTTGTTTTTTGCACTATTGTTTTTGTCAGCTGAGTTACCTTATATCAAGTTGTTGATCCTTAGATGCCACTGTCACATACAATGACAATTAAGCCCTTGACACCTTGGGCGATTGTCTCACTTGCCCCAAAGGTGATTCAGAGGGAAATCGAATGCTCTTTTTCTAATGTTTAGGCTCAATGCAACTGTTGTCGGAAAGGTACTTGTTACGAAGCTCTATCTATTGATAGAGCTATTCGTTATTACGAAAAGGTCTGAAAAACCAATTCAGTCTTTCATACCGTTCAGTGAACCTTCATTTGGGTATTTTGTTTAGTTCTTGAAGCTGCTGGAAGCCCTTAAATGGAGAAACGCAATTTTGTACTGCAGTTGCATTTTTTTATCAGAGGCGTTACACACAGGGGCCCTCACCAACTAAATATTGCTCTAACTTTCCAATCCATTATCATGTCATTTTTGAAACCAAACAACGAACTTCCGAGTATTTCAAAGTGAAAACACTTTCTTACAACATTGGGTCAGAAAGATCGTTTTCAAGAAAAATGGGTTTGCGTCAACCAAGACCCGGATTCCATGGATTTTTACGCTCGGTAGGTGGTTGTGAACGTGTGTTCCGGAGGGTGAGACTTTAAGTGAAGAAAAGAATTAGATGACACCTTTAAATTAATGGGCGAGGTCGTTTTCGACATCTGTTCTGAATGCAATTCTATAGGTATCCTGAATAAAGTGGCTTACCAAATGCACTCCAATATTAAACCCATTTGATCTATTTGGAAACGGCATTTTACTGATGGGAAGACCGAGAGTAGTGACACTTAGAAATAATTTTATTATGGTTTAACCTCTAGGTGCAAGAGCCTCATAAATCCTTTGATCAAGTTGTCCTCCAGTTAAAATGACTTCTTTCTGAACCAAATCTGAAGGTGTCAGATCCGGTGATGGTGGTAACTTTACAGGCCCATATGATCCTGTATATATAATTTAATAGTTGAAGTTATCTTTTTAGATTACAATACCTATACAAGGTGTTCCAATTTTTAAAAATTGTTTTGGCCCGATCTTTTTGCCTGTGCCCGTATCCTAATTGCATACAACATTTTATGTATCTTGATACTTTTATTAAGTATTTGCCCTCGCATCTATTAAGCGAGCAAAAAAGTCCAGATTTTGTTTTTACCATTTTAAGCTTGATGTGATAAAAGCACATAACACCTATGGTAGACCCTATAAAAGTGTCAAAAATGGGACACCCTGTACACTTGTACATCTAATTTGGAATATCCATTCGCAAGCAAATCAAAGCCTTTCAATAGTATATTTTCCATCATGAGTTTTAAATCATAGTGCCAACTTTGGGTAGTATTTAGGTAAAAAAAAATTATACCAATCTTGAAATTGATAAATGATTTCGATAAAAAGATATACAAAAAACAGGATTAAGTTGCCTACCAGTAGCCATTTTGAAAAATTTGGCAGGGGGTTGGATTGCGCAACGTAGCAAAGTAAACTGTAATTTGCGATCTGTCAATAGGTGGCAGTCTGTCTCAATCAATGGGTGACGTTTAAAAATGTTCCCAAACTTGTGCAAGAAAGTGCTCGATTTTAATGTTTTTTTGCCCGAAATTTGCGTGGAGAGTTATGAATTGTTGGTACCTGAAACCCCATTTAGCAGCAGATAGCACCGGATTATCAAATTTCCCAGCATAAATGGACGCGGTTTGAAAAGCGTGTAAGTGTTTCACGATCCAAGATTTTGTTAGTTTGGATGTCCTCATACACGAATTGTAGAATCAAACAAAGCGAATATGGATTTTAGATGGAATAGAGGTTGTGGGCAGAGCGGGTGCTAAACAAACAATCAGCAAAGTGGCCGGCGGAGCATTTAATTGTGCGGCCATGTGAGGTATTTATAGAATGTGTGAGGTATGAAAATACGGTCGGGGCCCACTTAAAATCCTAATAAATACCCCATCCAAGCCCGGCCCGTTCGCACGGCCGCCGCAGCCGCGTAGTAAACTCAGTAATTAGGCGTCCTATATCGCGAGCGTAATCAATTTGTCCGCGTTGATAAACCCCCCGGTTTTTTCCTCAGAGTGTACGCTCGCCGTCGGTATTTTCAGGGGGTTGTAGGCTTTTTGTAAAGAGTGTGGGGTGTGTTAGCGGTTTAAGGCGCCCCGGCAACGTGTCAGACAGAGACGCCGTGCAGAAGTGGGGGAGCGGTGCGGAGAACCCAGTTCACTCAGTCGGCTGTGAAACGTCTCGATGACGGTAGGTAAAGCAAATATAGCGCCGTGTTGAACGAAAGGAAACATCCGCATTTCTTCATTGATCAACACCCTGTGTCTTCATCCCGATTTGCCCTGGATTCATCGACCCCTTTTTGGATAATATGCGGTGCTTTTGTGTGGTTCAGTGGATCGATTAGTGTCCAGTGTTAGTGTTTGCAGTGGATTACCAGGATTACGCCAGCGAGGACTTTTTGGATTACAGTGCACATTTTAGGAGGCAGAGAACATTTCGGACTGTCGGTTATACGAGCTATGAGTTGCTGACGGAACATGTACCCAAGTGCAGGAATGAACGCTGCGGCGGCAGCTGCTGTGGCGGCTGCCCGACATCCGGTAAGCCGAAAACACTGTCTTTTGTTCATTTTCTGCATGAATTTCGGCTGCAATCAAGCGAACCAAACTGGGGTTTCCGTTCGTTTCGGTTCCACATTTCAACAGCCCTCAAGGTCCAGCCGTGACTTCAAGTCCCCACATCCCCTAACATCCCCCACACACGCATTCCTCCAGAAACACATTTCCCTGAAAATCGCCCGCAAAAAAGCACGAGGAAAGCCCATTCTCCCAACGCTGCCCAATAGTTTGCCGTCGGAAGCCGAAGGCACATTAGCGCCTGGAAGCCTTACTTCCTTTACCAGTACCCTAATCTAAACAAACATAATCACTGAACTGATCCTGTGCCGTTTTTGCAAATTAGTTAAGCGAACTTTGATGCCTGTCTGCACGCGGTTCTTAGTCATGCTCTCAATAAGGGCAACTGGATTCCAACGACCCAAACCTTTGGAAGTTTTTCCTTTTTAAATACCCACTTCAGTTGAGTGCCGTATTCATCCTGAAGACCCTCGTTTCCCTGTTTTTCCTCTTGCGACCTCACTTAGTGGTTTGCCGTCGGATGACCCACTGGGCTCAGCTTTCCCAGATTTTGCAAAATTTCCAACCATAACCCACACCTACTTGCCCAACTCAACTTTCAGCAGAAAATTTCCAAAATTTTCCCAAAATCCGCATGTAAACGATTTTCTCAACAACTGCCAATTGTACTCAATGGTTTGCCGTCGGATGTGTAACGAACTCGCTTTTGCGGAAATCGATGCTACGCGTTTCGCTTTTACATTCAGTCAGTTGCAATGGCTGGAACGCATGAGAAAATGAGCCATTATACGTACATAACTGAAAATGTTTGACAAACTTTTCATTTCCCATTTGCCCATGTTTCAAGTTCTTTCCTGGTTTAGTTTAGTTTCTCAGCCCTCCGCGGGTCGCCCAGTATAATTTTACAATTCCATTAAATTATTGTCATCCACTCAACGAATGTGCCAAATTCGGTGAAATTACCTCAAACGGTTTCTGAGATAAAACCGAAGACCCAGTGTTTCCTTGAACTTGTGCCACCCTATATATTGATAGCTGCTCCTGTACAACCTCAAATTGCTCAAACAGAAAACTGCCGTTTTGCCTAACAAACACATTGGTGTCTTCATTTTTGAACTGACCGCCCAAGTGTGACGCGAACAAGCCAAGTGCGAAAAAAGCATCAGAAAGCGTACCTACTTTGGATTTTATGGAACTTTTCCATTTTTTTAAATCAAATTGTTTCAAATCCTCCCAGTAGACCGGATTTTTGCTTAAAAACGTGTTAATGACTAGATTTTGAAAACAATCCAATCGCGAAAGAAGGATTTTATATGCGAACTGTCGATTTTGTGAAACTTTAATGTTTTCTGCAATCAAGGTGTTTCAAAACTTTTTCAGTAAACGCAGTTTTTGAAAAGTCTCTCAGTAAGCGGGATTTTTGCTTGAGAAACATATTAGTGACATGATTGTGAAGGCAATCCAAGTGCGAACTTTTGAGTTAATGGAACTGTTAGATCTTTTCCTAAAATCAGGCTGTTTTGGAAGTCTTGTCGTAAATGGAAGTTTTGCTTATCAAATATATTAATGACGCGCGAAATGAAGAATCCAAGGGCAAACTTGCGATTTGATGATTATTTTTGCGGTGTAAATTGCCAATTTTTTTAATTTTTTGCATCATCTTGCATTTTCGAGGTGGAGAGATCTAGAAATCAAAAATCTTAATTTTGAATATAATCCAATTGCAAAAAGAACAATCCAAACGTTAAGGAAACAATCCAAATGTGAATTTTAGTTTTTTCTACGAAATTAAGCAAAAGCTAAAAGTAATGAGGTCGCTTAGAAATTAAAAAACTGAGTCAATTTTGGAGATAATCCAAGCGCGAAAGCGAGTAATTAAGCCAATCCAATCGCGTACCTGTGCTCAGCCGCTGTTGATTTGAGTTCGTTTACATGGACGAAAGTCACAGGGCATCAATTCAGAGTTCTTTTTTCAGCCGCATGTTTTTCTTGAATCTTACGTATTTCTTTGTCCACCTGGGCTGGTACTTAGAGGATTCTTGAGAAGGTGCACCTTTTCGTATAAATTCTTCAAAGTCGTCTTTGCGTATTGTAAATGTAAATAAACAACCGTAAATTGGACGTTGTTGTTCTTGTTTTTGCATCTGGTTAGTCTGATTGAATTGGAAACTAGTTGAGTCATTAAAAGGCTCCAGCTGAGATTATGGATATTTGTCAAGCGTAGTCATATAAAAGCGACAAGCGATTACTTGAAAATTCGCTCGTAAATTCCGCGGTCGCTGCATATGAGAAGTTTCGTGTAGTTTGTCGCTGTCATAATTAAGTGGATCCGTGTCTAGCGTGTAAGCCGGTCGAAACATGTTGATTGCAAATTTATTCGGCTCAGAGCTGCCGAGAAAGGTTAGCAGCGGTGACAGTTTTAGCATCCTAATGTGCAAGGCGAACGAAGCGAGGTCGATGACTTTGCTATTAATTGCGGTAGAAACCGCGTTAACTACCAATTAGTGAACGCGTTTACACCGACAGACGACAAGCGTCCTGGAAAGACGCTTTAAATCCCACACCTCCAACTTCAAAGCTTGATAATAATCGTTGCCAAATGTTTTCGATTATTGTCAAATTTGCTATTCGCCTTTCCATTGGATTTTTCGTAAACATTGACGCCCCTGATCGAGCTTTCGTCAGCATTAAGTGTCTTATGTGCGTGAGACTTTCGCTAAAACAGTTTCCTGAATAAACTGAGAAACTCGATCATCACTGTGATTTTCTTTGTCAAAATTAACGGAATAAAGTAAACACAAGAGGCGACATCAATTGACCATGTTCCATACGTGCACAGCAATGGCGGTATCACCCGCATGTCTCAATCGCTTTAAGCCTAAATGCATCCGTCACCGTGGCCTTTTCTAGCATTAGTTTTTATTTTAAGAGAAATTGTGCCAAATGTGAGTGTTCTTTAGAGCCAACATAGCGTTTTTATACAGAGTGAGTCGATTTCAGGTGGCAGGCACAATTGCACTTGGTTCGGACGCTGAAACGTGTTCATATTTTCGATCCATTATTTCCAAAGGTTCCACGAATTAGCATCTTGGGCGATTTTAGTGAAATTTGGCATTATTTCAGCGCCAAGTGTCTGTTTATAGGGTGCTCGAATTTGAAGTTTCTGTCTGCAATAGATGGAAAGTTATGAATTTTGGAGGAATCGCGTGCAATTAGGCGGCAGTGTTCATTTTCGGACCATTACGCACAATGTTGCCAAAAGTCACGGTCTTGTGCGATTTTAGTGAAATTTTCGTGAGTTTCAGTTTCTAGTGTCTTCTATGGGGTGTCGTAATTTCAATTTGCTACCTGCATAATTCTCAAGGTTGTTAAAAATCCGAAATTGACATGGTTTAAATGTAACATTGATTGTGTTTAGTCCCAGGTGCTTTCTACAGGGTGGCCTAACTTCAAGCCGCTACCTGCTCTGGATTGGAAGTTGCGAATTTTTGAAGCAGGGCGCCCACCTTCAAATTGGGCGGAAATGTTTATTTTGGATCCATCATACGAAGTTGCCAAAATCAGAATTTTGTCCGATTGTATTCAAAATTTCCGGGTTTCGAGTCACAAGTGTCTTTGCTAGAATGTGCAAATTTCAAATTGCTACTTATCTCGATAGGAAGTTTAGATTTTTTTAAAAGGGCGTGTACCTAATTAATGCGGAAATGTTCATTTTCATTCCATCATTGACAAATCTGGCACAATTTGAGTGAAATTTTCAGGACTTTCAGACCTAAGTGTCTGTTGGAGGTCGTGCAAATTTCAAGTTGCTACCTGCGCTGGAACGGAAGTTTCGATTTTTTAAACGAGGACATGCACTTGGGCGAAAATGTGTTCATATTCATCTAGAAGAAATCTTCAGTTTACGAAGATCGTGGTTGCGCAAAAGATATGTTTGATGCGAAAAAAAATTAAAATGGTGATCTTTAAAACTGTTGTATATTCAGTCTTCAGGGTGTCATCAAAGCACAGATACAATAATGCTCGTGAATGCACCGCAAAAAACCGAAGGTTGAAAACCGGTTTGCCGGTTGTGCAAAAGCCTATTGCACACATTTTACATTTTACAAAGATGCTTATTTAATTTTATGCACGGAACTAATGTTTAGTTTCACGATTACCGTTTTAATTAACTTCGCGCTTCCTGCCTATTTATCGCAGACAAATATCAATTTTCTAAGGAGCCGAAGACAAAATCGAGTTCGTGCTTATTTCCTGATGGTCTTTCGGCAACTTTGCTTACATCCAGAAAATATTTGATAACTTTTTAATTAACGCTGTTTTCCTTCACTCGCAACTCTGAAATTCTGTTTTGTCTGTACAATGACTTGGAAGAGAAACACTGTTAGAAAAGAAATATGCAATTTGACACTGAAAAATATTTTCCACGACGGGCAAAAAGCCGACCGCGAATTCTTTTGAGTCATTAGACATAATTATAAAGCACGCCACGCAATGTAAATATTTAATTGCATCTAAAAGCAGCAATTTATCAATTCCTGGTCTTTTCAGTAGGTTTGTGCAAACAATCAACTTTCCCCTGAATAGAAATCTTCACTAAAAGCCGAACAACAGTGCAACGCCAAGTGCCAATTTCACCGCAGCAGCAGCAGAAGAAAAAAAATTGCTGAACAATGTTCGTGGATGTTTGCAATGTGCTTTGTTTCCACCGAAAATGTCGAAACCGTCCATTGTAGCTACACAAATGCGTCTTGACAACGCTTAAAACGGGTGATTTCTAAAATTTAAGTGCGAACTAAACGCATATTCCGAGTAATTGTGTGGAATTAGTGTCGGCTGTATAGTTAGTGCATAAATTAGCCGGGGATTCGTGTTCTACGCTTTGATGCTCCGGCATATAAAATTGCGCCATTATATAAACACGGCTGAACATGTTCGTTAAGCTAATTAAACACGCTGTTGCA